CCCCCTCTCGAACTTTCCACTCTTCTCTGCACCCCGGCCCTCTTCTGAACACCCCCCTCCCCTCGACGCTCCCTTCCAGTCTCTGCACACTCGCCGCGCCTCCTCCACGGGGAACCCCCTCATGTCCCTTCCCTTCGTCCGCGGGAAAGGCCCCTCTCCTCCCCTCCTCCACCCCTCCGGGTGCCTGGCCTCCCTACACGCGGGGCGCCCTCTACCCCTCCTCCCCTCTCCCCATTTATCTTGACACTGCTCATGCAGGCACATGGCGTCTTCTCTCCCCACATCCCACCTCGGGCCCCTGAGTGCCCCGACCTCAGATCTCATTTTTGGCTATTCCTACCCTAAAACGGCATGCCCCATCTGGCCATAACCCATGGCCCTCTCCTCTTTTCTCTTTGTGGCTTGTCATCCCGCAGATCTCCTTGTCTTGCTTGCCTCTACCCATCTGGCCCCCCGTCAGGATCTCTCCCAACCTCCCGTCCTGGTCCTTGTCCTCCTTCGTCCTTTAGATGGCTCTGTTTCTTCTTCCCTCCTCCCATGCCTGCCTTGGACGTCTTCCTTCTTCCACACCTCGTTCCCTGACACTGAGGCCACCTCCTCTTCTAATTTCCATCTTCGTTCTTTCCCTTGGTCCTGCTCTGCCTCTCGCTGCCTCCCTCCCAGCTAGCTCCCTCTGCCTCCCATCTCCCCCACTTCTCCCCACTCCAGCCCTCTTCCTCTCAGCAGCTCCTTGGTCCCACTCTCAGCTTTGCCATTTCTTGACGCATGTCATGGGGCTGTTGGGCTGGGAAGCAGGACACCTGGGTTCCAGTCCTCCTGTGCATCTCTCCCTCGTGTGACCTTCCTGAGCCTTACAGTCCCGGTCTGCAACATGAAGAAGGGGGACCAGCCAATCCCAAAGCTCCCCTTCCAGGGTCAATAAGATGGAAATCCCTTCACTTCTCTTTTTCAGACCTCTTTTTTCCCTATTTCCCCCAACCCCGCTCTGTTTTGCTGAGTGCTCTCAATGAGCAAAGAATGTTATTATCTCATTTAACCCTATGGGTGGGGTGCCACCCTCCGGTTGAGGATCAAGAAACCGAGGCTCAGAGAGGTTAAGCCACTTGCCCAAGGTCGCCCAGCTGTGACTGGGGCAGGGACAAGAGAACTCAGGTCTGATGGAGGTGATTTGTGGATACGCTTTGTCTGGAGTGTGGAGTGTTTAAAACTGAAACCAAAATTGAATCAGATGCCAACATTTAAAAATAGAGAGATTGCACATTGAAAAATCTGATTTCCAGCTTCTTTTGAACTAATGGAAGATCTGACAACCTGGAACTTGTAGTCTGCTGTGGCCAGAATTGGCTGGATTCAAGCAGCAATTTTGTCTTCAGATGAGGCATGGGGGTCTCCACTTCCCCACAGTCACCTCTGGTCCCTATCGCCTCACCCCCATCCGCTTTTCTCATTATGTTACTCTCTTCCTTCTGTGCCTGTTTGACTTCATCTTTATTCCCTGGTCTGACGGAGCACCAGGCACAGAGCCAAGTGTGAGGCCTTGTGCATCCTGGAGCCCCTAGGACAGTGCTCAGCACAGAGTGATCATTCCATTTGTTCATCCCTTCCTTCCACGACCACTAGTTATTGAATTTATGTCAGTGCCAGGCACGTTCTTGATTCTGGAGTTACAGTAATGGAATGAACAACTACAACAAAGATCCCAGTTTTTCTATGTCTATATTCTAGAAGGAGAGGCAGATAACAAGGGAGATAAGTAAATGGAATATTTAGGGTGTTAGAGCTGAGTGCTAAGGAGGAAAAAGAGCAAGGCTGGAGACGGGAAGTGTTAGGGGTGAGCATGTGAAACTGGAGGTAAAAGAGGTTGAGCAGGTGATACCCAAGGGGAGGTCTGAAGGAACGGAGAGGTGCAGCCGTGCGGCTTCTGGAGGGAAGAGCTTCAGGTCGCAGGAACATAGCCAAGGTCCAGCAGCAGGAATGCGCTCACGTGTCTGACCACCAGAGGAGGCCGGTGGGGAGGAACGTGGTGGGAGGCGGAGTCACAGCGATAACACATGCTTCCAGGTCTTGGGACGTCATTTGCTCTCCACGTCGGAGGAATGACAGGAACTGGCTTACACGTTAAGGGGCTCGCTCTTGCTGCTGTGTTGAGAGGAAGGCAAGCAGGAAAAGGGAAAACGGGAGGTGGCTTCTTTGTGGTGGGAGCAGTAGAGTCTGGGTTCGCATTCAGAATGTATCCTGCAGGTGCAGCAGGCAGGAACTGCCGATGGGGCGACTGTGAGATATGGGACATGAGAGCGAAAAGAATCAGGGTGTCTCAAAAGCAGGGTTTCCCAACTCCACGCTCTGGACATTGGGGGTTGGATAATTCTGTGTTGCGATGGGGGATGGCAGAGGGAGAGGGGTCCTGTGCACGGTAGGGTTTTTATCAGTATCCTTGGCCTCTAGGTGCCAGCAGCATCCACCAGTGTGACCACCCAAACTGCCAACTGTCTCTAGACCACGAGTAAAGTCGCCCCTCAGTGACAGTCACTGCTCTAAGGCTGCGCACTGAGCACTGGAGAATATGGGGGATGGGGTGGGGTCCGTCAGATGAAACAGCTGATATTTTCTTGTATTTCTTTTATTTTCTCTTATCTGATCTATTATGAGGAGGGCTAGCTAGCACCAGCTCAGTTTTGGACATGTTAGGTTTAAGGTGCCTGTTCGGGGTATCCTCTAGGACAAGGCTCAGTCCAGCGAAAGCCCTGCAAAGTGCTGCACAGGCAAGACTTTGGGCTTCGGGGGGTGTGTGGTCTATGTCACAGCTACTCCTGAAAACAACCAGAGACAATGCGTGAGTGGGTGAGCGTGGCTGGGTTCCAATTCAACTTCATTTCCAGGCACTGATACTTGAATTTTATGTCATTTTCACATACCACAAAATACTCTTCCCTGACAGTTTTTCAATCATTAAAAAAAAAAAAGAAACTCACTCTTCACTGGATTTGGCAGGCTGGGTCTGGCCCGTGGGTCGTAGCTGGCTGACCCCTGAACTAGGATGTTAGCGACATGCTCTTGGAGGCCAGAGTTCTGGGGACAGTCTGGGCTGGAGATATAAATTGGGGGGATCATCACATGTGGATGGATGAGGTCAACTAGAGAATGGGCAGAGACAGAAGTAAACTGAAAAATTAGTTGAAAGGCCAAAGCCTGAGTTAGTCCAGTATTAAAAGACAGAGAGATGGGGCTGGGGTGGTTATAGCTCAGAGGTAGAGCGCATGCTCAGTATGCACGAGGTCCTGGGTTCAATCCCCAGTACCTCCATTTAAAAAAACAAAAAACAAAAGACAAAACAGAAAAACCAAAAAAGGGAGCTGGGAAATGAGTGACCACAGAGGTTTTGGGAAAATAATGAGGTAAGTGGGTGTTCTGGGGGTCAAGGGAAGTGTGCTAAGGAGGGGCCAGCTTTATTGTTACTGTAATTGTCATCCATGTGTCACTGAATGCTCACAATATCCCTGTGCACTCTGTAGAATTATTACCCCCATCTCCTAACAGTGGAAGACAAGGCTCAGAGAAGTGAAGCGACTTTCCTAAGTTCACACAGCTAATGCGCAGTGGAGTCTGAATTTGAATCTGAGTCTATTTTGTTTCCTAGGAGTCAGAGCAACACATCCACCAGCCTCCATTCCATCAGGGATCCAGGAGGGTAGAAACTGGTCCCCCTGAGCCATTGTCTCCTGAAGGTGCTGTGTCCCCAGGACACATCCTTCCTCATGTCCCTCCAAGTGTCTCTGAGAGACACAGTAGAGAGCAGTGTTTGGGATACAGACTCTGAAATAAAACTGACTGGGTACCTCCCGTCTACTGTGCCTGGAAAGGTGACCTTGGGCCATACATTAAGCTTCCCTGCGCTTTGTTTCCATCATTGGTAAAATGGGGATTCTAACAGCCCATAACCCACAGGGTGACGGAGGCGGTCAATGAGTTCGTATGTTTAAAGCATTCAAAAGGCCAGCAGGCACCGAGACAGGGCGAGCTTGTGTCGTTTACGTTCTGTTGCTGTTCTTCTTTTTATTAGGAAGTCACGTGACCAAGCCCTGTGCCTCCCTTCCTTGATAGCCTAGAAGTCCCCGCACTGCCCAGGAGAAATATCACACAAGCTGCGTGTATGATTTATTTGGTTTTAAGTTTTTTTGGTGGGGGGAGGTTATTAGGTTCATTTATTTATTTAATGGAGGTACTGGAGATTGAATCCAGGACCTCGTGCATGCTAGGTGTGCGTTCTGTGACTCAGCTATACCTCCCCCCCTGCATATATGATTTAAATGTTTCTAGTAATGACATTAAAACAAGTAAAAAGGGAAAGGTTCAATGAATCTAATTCAATGAATATAAATTATACAGTATAATGCATTCCTATGAAGGCTAGTAATATAGTTTATTTAACTGAGCAGAGCCAAAATATTATCATTTTAATATGTTATCAGTATAACAACTATTCATGAAATATTACACATTTTCCTTCATACTGAGCTTGAAATCTGTGTGCATATTTTACGCCCGCACCTCATCTCAATTGCCGCATTTCAAGTACCTGAGACCCAGGGCTAGGGGCATCCGTTTGGGTCTAGCCCCATCCTCAGGAAGTCTGTTCTAGGCTTCTAGAACCTGGGCGCACGGCCTGTTGATTCCTGCCAACTATATAAAGTCTCTGTGCACAGCACTTTGCATGTCTTATTATCTCATTGAATCCCTCCCATTGCTCCAGGGGAAGGTATTATTATCACTCGAGTCTGCCAGAGCAGGAAGCTAAGGGCCTGAAAGGGAAATGAGTCAGCCACATGGCCACCCATGTGCGGGGTACAGTCCGCACCCCTTCTCCCCCCCTGCCGGGTCTGGGCTAGGCAGGCCCTGGGGGAGACTCGGGGACACATCCCCGCCATCCCTGTCCAGAAAGAGATTGTGGCCGGACCCTGAACCAGTCAGAAAACACACAGAGGCGTGCCTCATAACCCCCACGTTTTCTTCACTTGATGCTGTGTTTCACAGAACTCTTATCAAACCATATAGGGTCATATCACCATCCTCATTTTCCAAATGAGGATGTCGAGGCTCAAGGGTGTTCAAGTTCCCAAAGCCACGCAGCTGGGAAGTGGCAGCCCTGCATGTGAGTCCAGACATGGGATTCCAGAGCTGGCACTCATGGCCACCATCGCCTTAAAATATGCTCAGCTGCCTAAAATATGCTCACCTCTGGAGACGGCCGCACTTGAGTCTCCTCCCCATGCCTTCATCTATGTGGGACTGAGCAATTTCTCCAGCTGCATGCCTCAGTCTCCTCATCTGTAAAGTGGGGATATTGTTACTGCCTAGCACCCCTCGAGTTTGTCTTGCATACTGAGTGTGTTAGTATCTGTCAAGTGCCTGGTGTGTGGTTAGCCCTCAGTAAGTCCTAGTTAACATTACTGCTGTCACGTCTAGTCTGTTGAGTCTGCATGCTGTGTACTTTCTATGCTCAATCTCAGTGAATTATCATTGATGATTGGAGGGAAGCACTATGACCCCATTCAAGAAAGGAGAGAAACTGAACCTACCCTCCACACCATAATCGATGTGCTGATGGATAAGCATTGGCTCTCAAAAGTGTATCTTCGTTCATTCATTCATTCAATTGCTCTTTTTTTGAAGTGTAGTAAAATGTATCATCGCGACCATTTTTAAGAGGACAGACAGTTCAGTAGTGTGAAATTTATTCATATACTGTCTAATCTCCAGAACTCCTTTCATCTTGCAAAACTGAAACTCTGTACCCATTTTCCCCCTATCCTAGCCCCTGGAAACCATCATTCTACTTTCTGTCTCCACGAATTTGACTGCGCTAGATAGCTCACAAAAGTGGAAACATACAGCATTTGTATTTTGTGACTGATTTACTTCACTTTGCATAATGTCCTCAAGGTTCATCAAGGTTGTAGCATTGTGTCAGAATTTCCTTACTTTTAAAGGCAGAATAATATTCCATTATATGTATGTACCACATTTCATTTATCCATTCATGCATTGATGGACCCTTGGGTTGCTTTTGGCTGTTGTGAATAATGCTGCTATGAAAATGGATGTAGAAATATTTCTTAGAGACCCTGCTTTCAATTCTTTTGAGTATTTAACAGAAGTGGGATAGCTGGATCATATAGTAATTCTGTTTTTAATTTTTTGAGGAACATCTGTACTATTTTCCATAGCATCCCACCACTTTACATTCTCACCAACAGTGCACTCAAGTTCCACTTTATCCATATTCTCATCAACACTTGTTATTTTCTGTTTTGTTTGATTGGTTTTTTATAGTAACCATCCTAATGGGATGGCATCTCATAGATATGAGATGGTATTTCATTGTTGTTTTGATTTGCCTTTCCCTAGTGATTAGTGATATTGAGCATCTTTCCATGTGCTTGTTGACTATTCAATCTTTCTTTCATAAAAATATTTATTAAGCACTTACTACATGCTATGCATTGTTGTAGATGTTGGGAAGACAGTGGTGAACACCCGTAAGCTTACATCCCAGTGGGACAAACTGCTGTGTGTTTGAATCCTGTTTCCCCTACCCATCAGCTGTGAATTGATGAACTCTTTTTATGTCTCTCTTTCCTCATCTGGACAATGGGTATACGGAGTGGTATCAACTGAACACTTAATTGTGTTCCAGGCAAAGTGCTAGGTCTTTATGTCTGGATTCAATGCTCACAACAAACCCCATGAAGTAGGTCCTATTATCCTTTTGTTGTAGGAAAGGGGACTGAAGAAGATTGGCCCAAGTAAGGCCAATGAGGTCACAGAATAAGGACATGATAGATTCGGGCTCCATTATCAAGCAGTGTGACTCCAGTTCCCCACGTCTGACCACTACATGACACTAATAACATTATCCGTTTCATGGGGCTCCTGGGAAGCCCTTAACAAATGTTAGCTCTTAGTGGGATTATTCACTGCCTTTTATTCCTTCTTTCTAGTTCTTTCTTTACCCTCATTTCTTTCCCTGTCATCTTGTCTCACATCTTCCCTTCTGCTATCCTTATATTCATTTGTAACTTCATTCATTTAACACGCATTTCTTGAGGCCTCCTTGCTGCCAGGCAGTGCTAGGGGCACACAGGAGTCAGACCCTGTGCCCTTCCCCTGCAGGAACTCCCAGCTTGCAGAGGAAGAAGATCATAAATCAACCCGATGCATGCTAAAAAGGGGAAGGGGCAGCACAGGTCGCTGCTGCACCCCATGGAGGGAACTAACCCACCCTGGGCAGGAAGTGTGTGTGTTTGTGTTGGGGGTGGGCGTGGAAGCTTCTTCAAGCAGGGGCCTGTGAGCTGCCCGCTTGCAAGGGTAAGTTTTTCATCTGTGAAGAATGTGAGTGGAATGTTCCACAGCTGTTGGGTTGAGGCCTGGAGGTTGGAAGGAGCCTGGAGAAATGTATTTATATTTATACTTTTTATATATCCGTCTCCAGCTATGTAAGGATGAGGGTTCTGGGCGGGAGGGAGAGGGTGAGACTACAGGACTCCCCGAAGGCACACTGCACCCTCTCGTGTGTCTCTGCTTCCTCCCACCACTCCATCTCCTCCCGGAAGATTCCAGGTGCAGCGCACAGAGAGACGGGGAATCCCTCTCCACACACGCCGCACTGAAGAAACTACAACCCCTGTGATCCACTGGGGCTACTCTCTCCTCACAATTGGACTCAAGACGCCATAGCGCCTGATGGGAAATGTAGTCCTCGCCCCCGTGGCCTCTTCGTTTTCCCACTCACTCAGACTCAACTGGTTTCGCGGTGAAGGGTGCCTTGGCATTGCCGAAACAAACGCTTGCTTTCTTATAGAGAGAGAAACAGGCCAGAGAGACTGTGTCCCAGCTCAGGTTACAGGGCAAAGGTCCTTGTGTCCTTTTAGTGAGTATTGGATGGTTTTCTTTCTTTCTTTTCCTTTTCTCTTTTTTAGGGAAACTGAGTCCAGGGAGGTTGAAAGTTTGCCCCAGCTGCCCAGTCTCAGGAGCCAGGACTTCCCGCCTCCCAGTCAGCCCAGCGAGAGAAGGGGTTGAGGAGGGGGAAGGGTCTTTTCTCACCGGGGCTTCCCCCACTCTTAAGCGCCCTCCCCTACCATCACCCCATCCTCCTCCAGGGTTGAAAAGAGGCGTCTGCGTGAAGATCAACCATTTCCCGGAGGACACGGACTACGACCATGACAGCGCGGAGTATCTGCTCCGTACGTGGGGGTCCCGGACAGAGTGGGGGTGGACTGGCCAAGCGGGAGGGGGAGAGGGGGCTGTGTCTCAGCACTTGGATCGACACACAGAGATGAGCTTGGCAGCCAGTCCAAGCCCAGATACTGAGATCCTCTGTTCTCCGATTGGCTCAGTGGTCTCTCTCCCGCCCCCTCCTCTCACCTTGGGGCGGGCCAAGGGGGGATCCCGGGAGCTGATTGGCCACAGTGCTGGCCTGGGTACGCACGGCAACTCAGTGCGGTGATTGGTTGTCGCGCTCTGGGCTGGGATTGGCCACTGCGCCCGGGGCAGTGAGGCAATCTGCGGCGCGGACTGGCCACTCGCGGGAGCGGGCGGGGAAGCCTGTGTTACGATTGGTAGCTACCCCGAGAACGCGGCAAATCCCGAATTATGATTGGCTGCGGCCTCAGCCAGGCTCAGAAATCGCAAAATCTGGTTTCCTGGGGTTTGGGGTGGGGGCGGTAGGTGGAAAGGACTGCAGAGAGGGGGAGAAACAGGGAGAGAGAAAGCGAGAGCGAGAGAGAAGAGAGGGAGAAAGAAAAAGGAGAAACTCAGGGCTACAGATGAAGCCAGGCAGAAAAGGCGGGGGACAGAGAGGGAGAAGGGAGAGAGGAGGAAAGGACGAAGAGACGAAGGCAGAGAACAGGGGCGGGGTGAAGAGCAGAGAATCTGGAGAGAAGGATGAAGCCTGGCAGGAAGAGGGGCAGCGGGGAGAGAGATGTTTAGAGTTGACAGAAAGAGGATCTGGAGAAAGGAAAGAAATGCGCAGAAGAGACGAAGGAAAAGAGCGTGAGAGAAGGAAAAAGAGAGAGGGGAGGAGGGTCCACAGAGAAATAGAAAAGTTCAGAGAAAAAGAAGAGAAGGAGAGTGACTAGAGAAATAAAAAGGAAGGCAAATATGCCAGGAGAGAGAAAAAATAAAGGAAGAAAGAAAAGGACAAAGAAAGAGAGGCAATCAGACCAAGAAATAGATTTTAAAGAAAAGAGAGAATGAAAAGAAAGGAAAGGACCAGAACATAGGCACAGGCAAAGAGGGAGAATTGGAGAACTAGCGAGAGAGAAGCGGAGAACAAGGCAGGCAGGAGGCGCCGGGCGCCGAGGTGCAGGCGGCCGCGTCTGACGCCCTGGATCCCACCCCTCTCTCTCTCCCCCTCCTCCTTTCTCCCCCTAGGGGTCGTCCGGGCCTCCAGCATCTTCCCCATCCTCAGCGCCATCCTGCTGCTGCTTGGGGGCGTGTGCGTGGCGGCCTCCCGGGTCTACAAGTCCAAGAGGAACATCATTCTGGGCGCAGGGATCCTGTTCGTGGCAGCAGGTGAGAGGCAGAGGGAGGGGGCGGCCCACCTGCGTGCGCACACGTGTGCGAGTGTGCGCGCGCGCGCGCCTGCAAAGCCACCCAGCCCGGGGCGCTCCCTGGGGCCTGAAGCCTTCCTAGGCTCTTCCCAAGCTCTGTTGCCACCCGCTGGGCGAGGTAGGTGTCGCCTTCGCGCGATCTTCTGGGGGAGTGAACCCAGCACAGACTGGCGTCTGGCGCGTAATCGGGGATGCCTGGAGTTAAGACTCCAAAGCCCAGGAGACGGAAGGGGAGGAGCTTTGGACAGAGGGTGGGGCCTTGTGGCAGAATTGCGATCTTATAGATAGAGAGGCGGAGCCGGCACTGGAGGGAGAAAGTGATTTGGATGCAGATGGGGAGTGGTCTGCACTAGGGGGCGGGGCCTCGTGGACCAGGGTGTATGCGAGAAGGGGCTGGTTCTGCGAAACCACCCAGACCAACTCCAAGTGAGGCATGGCATTAAGGGGCAAGACCCCCTTTCTACTCGAAGTGAGTAGTACTGGGAAATTCCAGGGGTCAGAGCCTTTTTGAAGGGGTGGAATCCAGGGGAGAAGGAGGATTTAGCATAAAGAGCAGGGGATTCTTTGGAGGTGGATCAAGATCTGCAGGGGGTGGGGCTTGGAGAACTCCAAAGGAGGGACTAGCTACACCTGGGACAGGGGAGGAGCCTGGACTCGGTGCTCAGAGGGTGGGGTTTGGCAAACTGGAGAGGGGGCTTAGAGTAGAAAGGAGATCAGCATAGGGAAGGCCTAGAATAGACGATAATCATGAAAGAGCTCAGATCAAGAGTTAGGGCCTAGAGAGTCAGAGCAGGATTACCGCATTAACAGTTCAAAAGAGCAAAGGGCGAGCCCTAGGGGAAACCAAGATGTATAACCTTAAGAGTGGAGTTAGACCAATCAGGATAGGGCCTGGAAACCCTGATAAGATCATCTTATCAAGAGCAGAGTTTAGGCTAGCCAGGGCAGGGCCTGGACCATCTGGGGAGGAAATTAGACCATCCAGGGTGGGATCCAGACCATCTGGAACGTGGCCTAGGTTACCTGGGGGTGGAGCCTAGGTCATCTTGGGGCAGAATCTGGATCGTCTAGGGAGGAGTTTAGAACATCTAGGGCAGGGCTTTGGAGATCCTGGAGGGGTCTGGACCATTAAGGGAGAGCCTGAATCATCTGGGGTGGACCCCGGGCCAGCTGGGGCAGAGTTTAGACCAGTCAGGGTGGGCTTTAGACCAACAGAGTAGGACCTGAATTAGCTTGGAGATGGGGCTTGGACCATCCAAAGCAAGCGCTGGTGCCCTTTGGGGAGGGGCCTGGGCCAGCTGGGGAGGAATTTAGACCATCTAGGGCGGGGCCTACCACCGGGTGGTGGAGCTTAGACCAATATGGGGCAGGGCCTAGGCTGGCCAGGTTGGGGTCTGGACCATCTGGGGCGGGGCCTAGACCTTAACGGGGAGAGCTTAGACCACCATGGAGCAGGGCCTGGGCCAGACGGGGCGGGTTATGGACCACCGAGAGGTGGTCCTTGGATTATCCGGGGTTGGGCCTAGCCCATTGGGCCGGCGGGGACAGGGACCGGGCCAGGGTGGCCTCGAGGCTCCCGTTTGACCGTCCCTGCCCAGGCCTGAGCAACATCATCGGCGTGATCGTGTACATCTCGGCCAACGCGGGCGAGCCGGGCCCGAAGCGGGACGAGGAGAAGAAGAACCACTACTCGTACGGCTGGTCCTTCTACTTTGGCGGGCTGTCGTTCATCCTGGCAGAGGTGATCGGCGTGCTGGCCGTCAACATCTACATCGAGCGCAGCCGCGAGGCGCACTGCCAGTCTCGCTCGGACCTGCTCAAGGCCGGC